GCACTACGCTTCCCAGATGTTGCGGTGTGATCGTGCCTGGAAAATCCGTCTATCATCCGTCTCTTTAGTGCGGCAATTGCTCCATGTGAACGGGGCCTCAGTGTATCTGAAGAAGTGTGTATGCACACAAAAGCTTATAGCCAGAATTAAACTTTGTTGGTCTTAAAGGTGCTACTGGACTCAAACTTTGTTCTGGATTTGTGAGTGGGTGTGTGTAAGTCCCATCCAGTCACTTCCAACTTATACTGGCTCTATGAATTAATGACCTCCAAAATGTCCCAACAACAGATGGGCAGCCAATGGAGTGTCTGCAGAATGGAAGTAAGACCCATCTCTGTGTGTTCACTGCCGTCAAGTTGCTTCTGATTTAGGATTAGGATGACCCTATGAAGGAATTAATATTCTCCAAAACGCCGTCATTAATAGCCTTGCTCAGGTCTTGCAAACGGACGACTGTGGCTTTCTCGATGGAGTCAGCCCATCTCATGTTAGTCTTCTTTTCCTGCTTCCTTCGAATTTTCCTAGCATTATTCTTTCTTCCAGCAAATCTTGTCTTCTTGTAGAAAAAGAGTTGGGATGTAATGCTAGCAGGAACCAAGACTGTGTGCATGTCAAGGCTTTTCGGCGACTGATCGTTAACAGGGGTTGTTTCGTAGAAAAAGAGCAAGGGGAACTCATTAGCATAACTCATTAGCATATGCCACACCCCCTGACATCAGGGGCCCCGGCGGTGGACCTGCAAGGCCGGCGGGAGTGCGAGGAAGCCCCGCCAAGGCCCTCCCTGGCCCCAGGCAGGCAGGGGTGGGGAGAGGCGGGGTGGAAGCAACTTACCCTCCCTCTTCTCCTGCCTCCTCCTGGCTGAATGAGGGCCAGAAGCGGGGCGGCCGGAAGCAGGGGGCGGGGCTTCATCGTTCCCCCCCCGCACCTCACCCGGGGGAACTGCGATCCCCCACGATCCCCCCCAAATCGACCTCTGATCGTTAACCAAATCTATAACATTACTGCTTTCCAACTACCACTTGATGCAGAATCCTCATAGTTAGGTACGTGGCAATTTAGCCCTTCACCCCTGGCTTGAGAAGGAACTGATTCTCCTTTAATTGCAAAATCCTGGAAAAATAATACCTTACATTATCAGCCTTGCTGCGTCTGTGATTTTTGTCTGATGGACAAACTTACTGATTCTCTTCTTTCTAAGGCTACAGCATCATTTGATTCAAAATTCATCTCCATCTAGTTTCCCTTCCTGGACTGTTTATCCACTAAACCTGAATATTCTTTGATTTTGGAACCTATACATCTGCTGTATTGATGCATTTCATGGGATGTTTCATGTTAATGAAGTTCTTTGCCAAACTGTTTTGTGTGGGGGTTTTTTTGTTACTATCGCATCAACATTGTTTGTTATGTAAGTTTTTATTATTATTATTATTAATTCAACTTGCTACCCCGCTCTAACCCCCTAAGGGGTCTCTGAGCGGCTACAGTTACTCATTTATCCCTAACCTATGGCCACAATTATTCGGGGTGGGGACATCCCTACCGGCACCCAGTGGAGGGGTTTCTCTCTCGGGTCGGCTACGACGACTTCCGACATCACTCGGCTTCTGGCTCCTTTTCTTGGTGGTCTTTTCTTGGCGGTCTTCCAGCGGCGGATTGGTCGGGCCCTTCTGTCACGGGCATGCTCTGGCAGTACCAGTAACATGTACCAGTTAAGCTATATTTCTGATGTCATATGTACTTGCTTGTCTTAAATGAAGATGAAAAGTTCAACAACAACAAAATTAAAAGTCTTGTCTTCTTGTGGTGTGTCCCCCTGAACAGAGACAAGCTGAAAGGAAAGATAGAGAATGGCCATGGGGGATGTGTTTTGCGGTGCTCTCTGAATGACCACGGGGCCACGTTGCTTTTCTGACGGGCCACTGGTAAGCATTCAAGCCCAGGGGTCTGGTTGCTGACAGTCACAGGGGGATCTTGAGGGACTGTCTCCGAATTATAGTTCTATTCCATTTGTCAAAATGCTCCCCCATACACACAGCCACACATACCTGCTGAAGGATCAACACTGGGTGTCCACCTACTTAGTTAATTTACTTAGTTGACCACTTTCGCTGCATTATGGTCTTTGGCTGCAATAAACTATTACTAGTTGACCAAATTTATAGTCCACCGTTCGCCAAAACAATAAAAACAAAAGGGTTGCCAACATCCAGGTGGGGCCTGGAGAGCTCCAGGAAGTACAATTGATCTCCAGGTGACAGACATCAGTTCGGCTGAAGAAAATGGTTGCTCCGCAAGGTGAAATCTATGGTATTTTACCCTGTCCTCTCCTAGCAACACCCCCACAGCTCAAGAAATTTTCCAAACCTGGAACTGGTCACCCTAAAAAACATGCAATAGGAACAATACAATATCTACAATTATACATTCAAAGAAAAAAAGCAATAAAACTATGCAGTACGGCAAGATTACAAGGTAGGAAACTAATGCAATAAAAACAGTGTCACAAATTCAACAAAGAAAGCACTGAAAACTGCCTACAGTTTCACAGATGGTAACTATGACCTGATTCACTCCATTGGAGAGGGTTCTGTCAAGTCACAGGGGACTTATGGTGACACCGTAGGGCTTTCTAGGCAACAGATGTTCAGAGGTGGTTTGTCATATTGTCCACCTCCTCCACATGACCCTGCTAGAGCTATCCATCTAGGGTAGCTCTAGGAATCTCCAGAAACTCTGTGGTCAGAACTTCCTGTAAGTAGCTGAGGCCTTAATTTATTTTCACTTTTGCTCCCAGGACACTGCCCACCTCCAATTTCCCACTACTTGCCAGGCAGTTATGGAAAGTGCGGTTGCCAGCTTCCAGGGGGGGCGGGCTGGAGATCTCCCACTTTTACAACCGATCTCCAGCTGACGGCGATCAGCTCCCCTGGAGAAAATGGCTGCTTTGAAGGGTGGACTCTATGGTACTGGACCATGCTGAGGCCCCTCCCCAAACCCCGCCCTCTCCTGGATCCACCCCCAAAGTCTGCAGGTATTTTCCAATGCAGACCTGGCAACCCTAATGGAAAGCCAGAGAGGTGCCTGTCCACCACCAGAACCTCTGCCCCATGGGATCTGTTTTCCCAAATGGTCTTCTGTCACTTATACAGAACGATAATGAATGCTACCTTTGAGACTCTCTCTCTCTCTCTCTCTCTCTCTCTCTCTCTCTCTCTCTCTCTCTCTGTGAGAAAGAATGTTACCTTTGAGACTCTCTCTCTCTCTCTCTCTCTCTCTCTCTCTCTCTCTCTCTCTCTCTCTCTGTAGCAAGACAAAAAGCTCATACCTTGAATAAAACTTTGATCGTTAACCACATCTATAGCATTACTGCTTTCCAACTACCGCAAACCCAGGGGGGCAAAGAGGGGGAGGAGCCTCAGCCAATGAAGGGAAGAGAGGCTTGGCTCAGTAGTTCTGCTGTGTGATTGAGAGGGCCTGGCAAAGCAAGCTCAAGATCTTTCCCTCCCTCCCCCTCTCTTCCTTCCCAAGGGAGGTGGTGCCTCAGCCAATGAAGGGAAGAGAGGCTTGGCTCAGTAGTTCTGCTGTGTGATTGAGAGGGCCTGGCAAAGCAAGCTCAAGATCTTTCCCTCCCTCCCCCTCTCTTCCTTCCCAAGGGAGGTGGTGCCTCAGCCAATGAAGGGAAGAGAGGCTTGGCTCTGTAGCTCTTGTGCAACTGAGACAGCCTGGCAAAGCAAGCTGTGACGCAGGAGGAAGCAAAAGAGAGGGAGAAGGAAGCAGATGACAGCCAGTTGCTTGGGGGCGATGTGTTTCTCTCTCTCTCTCTCTTTCTCTCTCTCTCTGAGTGGGATTTGCTTATCAAGTTCTCCCTAGAAATGTAATTTGAGCCATTTGGTGTTTCAAATTCAAAAAGTTCTTTTGATCATTCCTCCCACAATTCTTTTAGTGCCCAGTGGAAAGTCTTTGCATCTGTCTTTTGGCTTTGATTCTGGTCACCCGAAAACGCAGAAAAATCTTCCCCCAAAATCCAAGCATCAAATTTGCCTTTTGTTCACCAGTTAAATTAAAGCCACAGATTGTTAGATTTTCAAACCCTTGCCTCAGTTCGGGTATTTATTTGTCACAATTTTCCCTGTTATGTAACTTGTTTTGCAAAATTTTCTTATCCATGTCCCTCCTGATTTAATACTAGTAAATCCAAAAGATTCTTCTAGACTTTAGCTGTTGTAGATTTTTCGGGCTGTATGGCCGTGGTCTTGGCATTGTAGGAGCTGACATTTCGCCAAGCAACTGTGACTAGGATACTCAGAGGTATAACAGAAAGACTCTCTGTGTCCAAGTGGGAAGAGAAATGGTAGGCAGGTAATTTGTACCTACTCAGGAAGGTGGGGTAGGGCTGAGTCATTATCTTGTAGGATTTTCCCAGGCTGTGAACATGCTAATAGAGGAGCTTTCCTGAGGAGGTTCTTTTGTATATGGATTGTTTCTTGAGGTTTCCTGTTTCCTGGGGAGGTTCTTTTGCATGTGGATTGGCTATTGAAAGTATAATCTTATCTGTAGTGCTATTGTCCGATGTAGAGCCTTCTAGACTCTTAAGCATTTCTTTTGCCGTCTGGGGATTTTCAAATATTTTTGACAGCTTGTATGTTGTTCGATCAAGAGTCCAGTACTTTGCCTTTCTCTGCTGGTTTTCCTCCAGTAGGAATCCAACAGCTCCTTTCGCTTCAAGGAGTATATGAAATCTTCAGCCAGCTTCTATAGTTCTCAGCAACAAGTTTTGGGATCCCAAAAGACCCGCTTGATTCAGTCATTCTTATCACAGCAACCTGGAGAAGAACAGTGGAGAAAAAGAATGAGGGCCAGCTGCCAAATGTACCTGAGAGAATTCTCTTCACCCTTTCCCTCCCAGATCATCCTGCACGCAGAGTTACAGTATCCAGCAAGTCGATGCTTCCTAGTAGTTTGGCAGTTTAGGAAAGCCAAAAAATCACCACCGACTCACCTTCCCAGGATTCTCCTGGGCTCTTTCTCCCAGCCGAGCTGGCTCGCCGCCTCTGCCTAGGAGGAGACTTATCACCTGAAGGAGAGGGGAGGAGTCAGGTTCACGGGAAGGCTTGCGGGGTGGGGGGCTTGAGCCACCACAGCCCCTTTTGCACTTCCATTCCCCCACCCCCACCCCCCCCACAAACCCTCCTTCCCCTTCAATTTAATCTGACATTAAACATGTACATCAACAACGACATGGAGATAAATGGAAACTGGGAAAATATTTTCCTTCTCCATGCCCCACAGAGGCAGGTGCAAGTCTGTTGACAGAGTGCCCCCTCTGTATTTGAGATGGGGGGGTCCCAACACCCAGGGGTCATTTCGTGGAAAAAGAGGTGCAGGAGCTCATTAGCATAACTCATTTGCATATGCCACGCCCCCTGACATCACCGGAAGGGTGTCAGAAGGCAACACCCACCTCTCAGGCTCCACTGGACGGTTTTGGATTGCTAGCTATGGGGAGGGACATGCAGATCTACCCTCGCAGAGGAGGGAGAGCTTGTACCTGCATAAAACGTGGTCTTAAAGGTGCCACTGGACTGTTTTGGATTGCTAGCTGGGGGGGGGGGGTGCACAGATCTGCCCTCACCCAGATCCGTGCAGAGGGAGAGAGAGA